TTTTTTCTACGCTTTTCAGGTGACTCGATGATGTATCAGCATACGGTTGGTGGCGTTAGTTGCGGCGCCAGCGGCTCACCTACCACGACCACGCCACCGAACATTAATTCGTGCTCGTCGGTCACGCCACCACTGTCGAATCAGCCAAATGCAGGGCAAAATGAGATGAATGGCGACCAAATGGTGAGTACTCAATTGTGGTGAAAGGTAGCAAGAACTTTCCACCATTTACGGGCGAAATGTCCTGTTGCAAGGATTACAAGGACATTTTTGCTGCTGTGGTTTGTGTATCGACTAAACTCCAAATAATCACCACACATTAATTTTTATTCACCTCTATGCGTACCTGCTAAATTAGTGAACAAATTTTTCGCTATTCACAGGGTGGCCCACCACATCACCAACAACAACCACCAACGCCGCAACAACAACAACAACAACAGCAGCAGCAACAACAGCAACAGCAAGCCCACCAACAAAACCACCATCATCAACAGCCACCGTCACAACAGCAACAACAACAGCAGCAGCAACAACAACAACAACAACAACAATCCCAGTCACAACATCAGGAACATGCGGCAAACAATGGCGGTTCACATATGGTGCCACATTGTCATCAATCCATGCAATCGCCATCAGATGGCGGCAACGGCGTCGGCGAAGACGATGTTTGGCGAGGACACAGTATAGCCGCCTTGCGGCGACGCGCATCCGAGCTGAATGCGACCTCGGCGATTCCCTCGTACTTGCATCACGCTGCTGCCGCACACAACAACTACGAGCACCACAATTCGGTCTACTGAAATTTGTTGAAAAGCTTTGAAAGCTTTTCGGATTACGGTTTTCCAAGTTGTGGGAATCATGAATTCTAGAATTGGCCCAAAGCAGAAAGTGATGGCGGCGGAGGCGGATACGGTGTAGGGGGGCAAAGGTGGTGAGATTGTTCTATGATGTCCAGCGCACGAAGTTAAGACCATTTTGAAAACACTGTAGCGCAACATGGCTGGTGGTGAGGATGGACACATGTGGGGTACATACATACATACGAGTAAGGAAAGGATTTTGTTAAAAAGTTTGCTGAAAGACTACTTAGCAATGAATTGAACGACGTATACGTAAACAGTGAACCGCAAGCAAAATGCAAATATTAAAATTAAGCTATACAAGTAATTAGATATATGTAATTGAGTGACACATAAAGTTGTAAAAAGCTAAGACCGAACAGTGGTTTAGGTGTAAGTATATATGTAATAAAGCACTTGCAAAGTATATTTAAAATTTTTTTTTAGATACAATGTGCAAAATATATTTTAATTGCTAGAAGTTATTATGTTCTCCCTCCAGTGTATTTACTGCAAGTTTAAATGTAATTTTATAGAAAAAAAATTGAAAAAGATACATTTGCACAAAACACAAATTTCGCTGAAAATAGCTGCTGTTAATAATTTTTACACTGCAATTAAACCTTGTTTTTTTTTGTTAACAAATATAATAAAACAATATATAGTATATTCTTGATGTAATAATTTTGTATATAAAAAGAAACCGTAAGGAAAATTTAACTGTAATTAAAACTTAACGAATTGATAAATGGAATTAAAGACTATAAAATGAGTAAGAACAAATGTATACGATATATAGCGCAGTGAACGAGTAATTATAAATTATCATATAAAAAGTTAAACTTAATGACATTTAAGTAAATATGTAGTTATTTAAAGATAAATATGTGTGTGCTTGTAAGTAATTATGTAATAATATACCATAAGTTAATGTTGCTAAGATGTTAAAAAAAGTAAAATAAAAAAAGATAAAAATTAGAACCGACAAATGTTCTGTAGCTATGAGTTAAACAGTGGTCGAACACATTATAGCCGCACCATATTTTGCAAAATTTTAACATATTTTTTTCTTATTTTGCAATTTTTTTTTTATAAAAATATAGTTCATTCTTTAATGAATCCTTGTAAATCTAAGTTTCAAACTTTGTGCAATATTAAAATAAAATTTAATTCAAAAAACTTTCCTAAAAATTTGGAGCTTTTTAATTAGATTTCCTAGAAAGATTTTGAGTACGTAGTTTCGCAGCCCATTAGATTCACGAAGAAGTTTCGAACGGCTAAAAATTAATCTTGATTTTTTTTTTAATTTTTTTTTTGTCCATTTGCTTCCTTAAGTCGACTCAACAATTTATACTATTGGCTGAAAAACTGCATAGTCAGAATCTTTCTAGGAAATCTAATAAAAAGAGCTTGAAATTTTTACAAAATTTTGTTGATTTTTTTTTTGTTATTGCACAAAGTTGGATTTTAATGGCTTTGGTTAAAGAATTTGCTATAGTTTTATTAAAAAAAAAACTAAAACTAAATAACAAAAAAAAGTAAATAATATGTTAAAACTTGTCAAAATGTGGTGCGACTATAATTTGTTCGGCCACTGTATGTACATTAGACCAGCAACCTTACAGGGGAGAAGAAAGCTTCGCCGTTCACCCATGAGTCTAAAGTATTTTTGTAAGGCAATTTCGAAAAAAAAAATAATAATTTGTTGGCCGAACCGAGGGGTCGACTTTTTAACTTTTTTTTGTATATCTTCAGCATAATTTGTTTTATTTCAAAGTGTTTCAGTGACTTAACTTACCCCGCTCTAGTACTTACCCACCGCATCTCAGTTGCTACCACCCTAATGTACCACACAATTGCCGAATGTAGGTGTCACCAAAAAATGTAAAAAGGCGATCCCTATCTTTGGCAAAAAAAAAAAAAATTTGTTTCAAAATTACCTCACAAAAAATACTTTAAACTCACAAACTTGTTTTCGGTACGGTATAATGTACATAGGTATCTGGAAAACAAATTTATAAAAATTCAGATAAGTTTGTCTCTTTACTGTTAGTCTAACTGTTATTAATATTTTAAATTTTTCAATTGTTTTTACTAATTTCGATTAAGTAAATTACACTATGGAACAACCCCAAGAAGAGTATGCGTATATGTTTGTCAAACCCTGAGAGCATTTTGGTCCACCTCAGCACAATTTTTTACAGCATAGCGTGCACCTAAAATAACGGCAAAATTGGTTAATTATATTGTTCACCTACTCTAAAAAAATAATAAGCGGGAATGTTAAAAAAATATGTTTTGATGAAATTCGGTGCATCCTGGTCGCATACTTGAAAACTTATGACGCCCACCTTCTAGAAAAGCACTAAATTTTATGAATTTTGGTGAAATTTACAAGCATTTTTATTTTATTTCTAAAGCAATTCGCTGAACTCGCAGCTGGAGCAATTTCCAAAAATGACTCGCATTTTTAATATTTGCTTGCCCTAAGAATAATTCAGCTCGCTTGCTTGGACCTCTTTAAATATCCGTTTTTAAAGCAAGCACACGAAAAACACGACAAACTGTCTTATGAATTTCCGTAGATATATACAAATTGGCCACATACAAATTAAAAAAAAAAAAACTGGTCATCGATCTGTTTGGCTTATTTAATTTCAAAACACACGAAAGAATCGATATATCCACGAAACTATGGGCCAAATATAGTAAAATTGCATTTTTAGTTTTTCACATTGACGTCAGGATTTTTTTGCGAAGGACTTTGAAATTTTAAAGATATGATTAATTCAAAAAATTATTTTAAAAATCATTGCAATGCAGAATAACAATATGGGTACCAAATCAAAGAGAAAATTCTGTAGAATTGTAAAACAATAAAGTTTTTTGGTTTACAAGGACGAATAGGTATTGAAAATGCGCTTTTAATAAATTTTATCTTTTTAAGTTAATAAAGTTTACAGGTCGAAATCGTATATTAGTCCTCAAACAATAATTTTTTACAAAATAAAATATTGCAAATTTTCTAGGATATTTAAGAACAAAATTTGTAAAGAACATTTTCCATACCCATTCGTCCTTATACACCAAAAAAAATTATTGTTATGACTGTACAGAATTTTTTCTTTTATATGATATGATATGATTATATTAATTTTTTTTGTCAAATTTACTGTCGCACGGTGTATATAACACCGAAAAATTAATTTAAATAACTTAAGGCCAAAGCAAAATTTTCACCCCTATTTTCCCTATCGACGGGTCTGAAGCCCAATAAACCGTTCGACGTCACGACCCTCCTCAGTCCACTTTGCATGCTGGGGATTCTTAAAGAAATATCCTAAATGGTATTGTGCACAAACGCCTGATTAAGGGCATTGAAGAATCCAGCAGCCTATTACAAAACAAATTCGATCAACTTAAATGACATTAAAAGTACTGGAAGCCCAATAAATATGTGCTGTATAAGGGTCAACCTCTATACAAAAAATGCATTTAATTTGGCATTCCTGCAGTGGACTCCAGCAACTTTAGCAGTGTTTTCCGCGCTCAAATTTCTCCCTACTAGATTCGCCAACTACTTTGAGGGAAATGTCCTGCAATACAATACCTTCGAGAACGATAGGGAATTCAAGATGACTATGATATACCGCAGCGTGCAGTACTAGACCCTTTATTCCAAAACATAATGCATATGTAATGAAATACAGCGACTCAACGTCGTCACGGAAGTCAATATTCATATGAAAGGCGACAGTAGCTAGGCATCTGGATCAGATCTCCATACTGTAAATGTAACTATAATCTTTATTGGTTGTAATGGTTGGACTTGATGGACGAGGATATTATTTTGAGTATGAAAGGAGTTATTATTAACATCATAGACCCATAATCCGGTGTCACTGTTGGGGCAATCTGTCATCTTAATGTATTTAGAATTTGCGACATATACGTCTTTGGAAAGAAGCCCAATTTCGAAGCTTTTCGACTGGACCCACTCAGTCACTTGAGGGCTCAGCTACAAAAATTAAATCTGTAAGACACTGATATGTAGGTACGATAGTTGATATCTTTGCTAGCCAATATATATGTAATTAAAATTGTTATAAAATATTAATTTGTGAAAAAATTGGATGTACTAAAATTCCTTCGGATTTGACTAACACGCATGGATACTAACGTTTGGGCATTATTTCGCTGAGGACTCAAAAGCAATTGTTTTCCACAGTGTTGTTGCTAAACACAATCACTTATGGCGTTTTCTACTCTACCGAAAAATGTTGCCTTCTCATTGCCCTTTCCTATGTATTTGTGCTAAGAAGGCAACATTTATAGAATAGGTAGAATTGAAAACGCCGTAAGTGATTGTGTTTACAAATAACACTGTGGCATTATTTTAAAAAGCCTTTCCAATTTTTCTATCTGTGCAATAATATGTATTTTAAGTAACAACAGGCTTTAAAGCCAATAATTTATATTTGATATATTTTTTTGTCGGTATTATTCGTATAAACATTTCACGTCTTTGTACTTCGATTTTATTTAAACGTACGAAAATTAGTAATATATGTGCCCGGTTTAATCAAACAATTTTTAAAATTTATCACACCGTAAAAATTTTGCGAACAAAAATGTGCCATTTTAAATTTTAACAAGCTGATGAATTAAAAACTACAAAGCTCAATTTCTTCTTACTATCCGAAAACTGCGATCTTCTGGTCGACTAGGCAAGATAAGTACTTAGTAGGTACTACATTCAATAAATATTGTTACAGAAAGAGTTTTTTGTGTTTAAAATTTTTTTAAATGACTAGAAACTTAAAATTTTAAAGCAAAGTGTTACTTTTTGTTTAAAAAAGGAGTTTCTTCTGATAGTAATAGCCCCTGTGCAGCCAATGATAAAGTTACGCGAGTGATTCCGCCATCAAAAGGTTTCTCAAAAAACTATAGGTTCCTCCATTTGGATGGCATCCTTACAAATTGAGAGAGCAACTTTCGCAGACTGAACGGTTTTAAAGGTTACATTAAACAATAGGGCAATTCATATGAACGCGTGAATGCCTCGTATCCACGTTAACCGCGTTGTTTCTCTTGTGTTTGTTTTTGAGTTTTTCAAATAAAATTTTTACAACAAAATTTCAAGTTGATAACGCACATTTGCTGCAAGAGTGTCATGATCAAAAAAAAAAAAAAAAAAAAATAAAAAATCAGTTAGGTAAACAGAAATATGTGCTAACTGTTTATGTAAATTTGAAACTTTAAAGCAGTTTTTCTTGAGTTTTTGATATTTTGGATTCTGACACTCTTGCAGCAAATCTGCGATGGGGCTTTTGAAATTTTCACTTTTTCACTTTTACTGTACATTTTCAGTGACACGCAACGCTGTTGCACTATGCCACCAACTGAAAATCGATAACAAGAAATTTAATTCAAATGTTAACAATGTAAAAGATAATGAAGATGTTTTCCACAAAGAATTAAAAATGTAATAGACTTTATTTAATAGCTCCATTTAAACTTAAGATAGCCATGGATAAATATACACTAAATATGTATACAATAATTTAATATCGCATTGCTGCTAATTAAATAAAAATAAATTTAAGACAGTAATGCGTGAGCTAGCTACTTATACATGTAAATAAATACGTACTTATAAAATAAATAAAAATAATAAAAATTAAATATAAAAGGACTTTATGTGAATAGCTCTAGTGACTCAAACAAGTGACCACATGTTGATTTTTTTGTCTTTTTTTGAATAGATACTCACAATATTTTGTAATATTGTCCAAGCTTTGGCAAAAACAATATAAATAAAAGATTCAAACTTTATGCAAAATTTAAGAAAATTCTAAAAATTTTCAACAAAGTGCCAAACTTTTAATCTTAATCTTTCGAACATTTCTGGGCACGCAATTTTATGGTCCATACAATTTATACAATTTTAGTCCAATGAAGTGCAAGTTCCAACCGGCTAAAAAGTCGCGTTAATTTTTAATAATTTTTTTTTTTTGGTGACTACTCTTGCCGTTTTATTTTTATATAACAAGCGCAATTTAAAAAAATTACCATAATATTGTAAACTTTGTTGCGAGCGGTCTCCCGCATTTTATTTCTTGAGAAATTCATGCATAGAAGGAAAAATGTGCAAAAATCGCCAGCAAAAAAAAATGTTAAAAATCTTCGCTATTTTTTGGCCGCTTGAAACTTCCTCTTCACTCATCTAAAATTCTATGGCCAATAAAACTGCATACGCAAAATGTTCTAAAAATTCAGATTAAAAACTTCAAAAATTTTGATGCAAATTTTTTAAATTTTCCTAAATTTTGTATAAAAAAATAACAAAAAAATAAGTTGAAAAGCTGCGATTTAGAAGAATTAGCTTTAACAAAGCCTAGATTAAGGGATATAAAACAGCACGTCCGTCGCTTCTCTTCGCTATCAATTGACGCCAATTGAAAATGCCAAATGAAGCCAAGTCCTTCTCCACCTGATCTTTCAATAGCCTTGCTCTTCCTCTGTTACCAGCATCGCGAACAGCGTTGAATACTTTCTGAGCTGGAGCGTTTCTGTCCCTTCGAACAACATGAGCTAGCCAGCATAGCCGATAATGTCGATGTCGTCGGCAAATGTCGTCAATTGTACGCTCTCGTAAAGTATTATGCCTGAGCCGTTCAGTTCAGCGGCTTTTATTATCTTGTCCAACATCAGAAAAGATTAAGATGTCTGAAACCTCGCTTGGTATCAAACGGCTCAAAAAGGTCTTTCCCGATTCAGACAGAGCCAGTGATATTGATCAACGGCTTGGGGTTGTCTTCTTCACAACTTTTCGTGCTGCTACAATTCAGAAGAAAATTGTTCCCTACATAATTTTAAGTGCATTCTGGACAACGATCACTAAGCCGCCATGGTTGCTCTTACATGAGTTCGCCCCGGTCTTGCACCCTTCCAGTCGGCCAGCATCTCTAGCTCTTCGCACTCACGTCTCGCTTCCCTATTTAGCAGCTTCTTGACACTCCTCATCGTACCATCTGTTGTGATTGCAGCTTTTTGAACTTAAGCTTTCTTTGCATTGTTGGGCTGCACAGAGGCGGGTGCGTATCTTGATTTTCTTATTTTTTTATCTGGAGATAGCCGTGTAGCTTCATGGATGTTTTTATGCTGGAACCTGGTACTACATAATACCATTTTGTTATTTTGTTGAGGGTGGTCCGCCTTAAGGCAAAATTTGTTTCCAAGAAAGGTTATAAGGCAAAACTCAGATTTTAAAAGTGAAATAAAGCAAATTTTGCGTTATTACCGTTTGTGTTATTGCTATGCCCGAGAACCCAGCATAGAGTGACGTTGATACGGCTCAGTGACGCCAGCGTGGTGCGACATTTCCATACAATTCCCGATATCACTATTTTAGATCCTATTGCCAACAGTTCTGCCTGACTGTCGGTAAAAGCAGTGCCTTTGCCTTCTGGAACTCTACTACTACGTAAATGACTAGCCTCCCTCTCTATAGCGTAGATCTCCCCTTAGAAAACACTGCAGTAGTCGTTCGGTAGACGAAAGGACCGGTTGATCTGCAGGTCCTTCGAGTAGACACCGACTCCGGTTCCTTATTTCATCTTTGAACCGTCAGTGTAGATGGATATAATCTCCCTTTGCTACTGGTAGTCCTGCATCCCATTCTTCTTCAGGCGGGAACCTAATGGGTATCTTCGTATTAAAAGTCCCAAACAGGCGTAATGTAATCAGTGCTAGCTTCTATGTTAGCTTTAATTCCATTTAGCCGGCCCCTTTAATTTCATTCACTATTGCTGCATGCCCGAAATTGGTTGCCTTCCCCGTTTCGGCCTCCCTGAGTCTAAGAGCGCTCGTTGCGGCCGTACCATGGAGGACAATATGCAGCGGTAATTACCTTGCCGATTCACCCCATGTTTTAAATTCTTGGAACTTACCTTAGCTCTTAACTGCAGTAAAGCTGTTGGTGGAAATAGGGTATTATTTACCTCAAAATCTTACTAGAATGGTTCCAATCTATTACTGTAAGTATTGTTAAAAATTAATCAACTCTTAGATAAATTGACTGCATTTTGCAAATATGTTTATCTTAAAGAACTAAATAACTCAAACGTTGGCAGAAATCTGTGCTGATTGGCACTTTTCAAATAAAACTCAATCAATACTAACAGTTACATTCAATTGCATTGAAGTCAATCATTGAATTCAGAATGTGACATATTGTACTCAGATTCAATATAAATCTTTGACACATAAAAGCTCTATTTCTTTGTTGTAGCCAGTATGCAGAAAATTACAATATAAATAACTATGCAAATATACTGATTACAAATACAACAATCAACCATTGTATATATGTACATATGTACATATGTATGTACTTCATAGTAAAACCAAGTGTCTAGTAAAGCCTTATAGTCATATTTGCATATCCATAATGTTAGATGCGTATGCGAAAGGTGGAAAGGAAGTCCGGGGCACGCAGAATGACATGCTCGAATTCAAGAAATGACAATTTCCCATCACCATCTACATCCGCCTCTTCCATAACCTTATCGGCTATCTGTTGATGCTCCTCCGGACTTAATTCATTCTTCGTCATGGTTGTGAGACAAGACATGAGGTCGGCGTGACCAATGAAGCCATCTTGATCAAAATCTGAATGAAGGAAGTTGAGAAAATGGAATTGAACGAACAAACAGGTTAAATTGTGCAGAGCCAAATGTGAACGAATGATGGTTGACTGTGAAAGTAGTAACTTAATTCTTTGTGTGTGTGTGTGTGTGTGTGTGCCTGAAGTGAAATTAAACAGTGAGTGTATTAAACAGGTATACTGTACAGGATATGCATGCAGATGCAGATGTGTGTGTGACAACAAATAGCAAAACGCAGACATGTGTATATACATACATATTGTAGGTGCGCATTTACATACAAGTGCAAGATAGCATGGTATGGCTTTGTAAAGGATGATGCGAATTACATACATATATACATACGTAGGTCTCATACGAGTTGCAGCACGTTGACCTACAAAGCTTGTACCCAAAGCAATTTGCTTTTCTGATAAGAGCCTGTATCCCAACTTAGTTTGCAGCGTGTGGTGCGGTGCAGTGCAGTGTAGTTGAAGCAGTATAGTCATTTTCATTAAGATTTTCTGCATTTCCTGCCCTTATAATGCATTACAATTTGTAGTGATTACCTGCAGCAATGCAATTTTATTGCTGAGTACTGCAGTCAGCTTTTCACACACAAGTAGACTGCATACATACATACAGACATGCAGGCGCATGCCAAGATACATACGTACGAATCGTTCGTGTATGTCTTATAAGTTTATTCAATTTTATTTAATTGCATTACCGCTAACTATGCATATTTTACTACACTGAGGAAAAAAAACGCGTACCTAGGAAAAATGAATATTTTTTATTTGACTACTGTTTAAAAAATGTTCGTTTTTAAATATAAAAAAATAGTATAATTAAATAATAACGTATTTAAATCAAGTGAAAAGTGTTCAAACGTAGTGTATGCATAATTAATGTGACCAACTATTTCATAGCTCAAAGAAGTACAGAAACTGAAAACCAAAAATAGTATGAAAGTAATGCGAAAATGGCAAAAGTAGAATATACAAAAACGGTAACAGTGTAAAAATTCAGCAAAAACATTTTTTTAATTGAAAATATATACTATTTATTATTCTAAGACAATACGTACAGAGACAAGTCATGTATCAAATTAAAGTGCTCGATCTGAAACCACTTTTTAAATATTTCCATGGAAAAATCAGTAATTGGTGTAATTCAGCTGCGAAATCAATAGCTTTAGACGGGAGTGCACAAAATGGACCAATTTATGAAAATGCGGCATTCCAACGTGACCGGTGGGACATTTTAACTCGTTTTTGCTCAAACTTCAAGTCATTTCTCTTTAACCATTTATTGGATAAGTCTCAAAATCTTAACACTTGATGTCAGATATGGGATTATTATGAAACTAAAAAAGTATAAAACCTAATTATTTAATTTACACAGAAAATTTACATTTTGCGAAAGTGGCCTTTCTCGTATGTAGATAAGACCCATTTTATGCTTTAATGGCATTAACATATTTGAAAATAAAAAAAAGACTCATTTATTACATCTATTTTTGTAATAACGCAGCACTGGTTTAAAGTCCATGTGAGGTGTACTTTCTCCTTGGATAATTATTATTTGCATTGTCAACTTAACGAGCAACGAGCATTGCCTTGACAACTTGATGAAAAAATACTTTATGAGGGATAGTCGCACTACGCTTGCGTTTATAACAATGAAAATAGAGAAAATAGCGAGAAATAAATCGATAAAAATCGATCTATGATAACCTGTGGTATCGTCTTCGCTAAAATGACCCTAAAGTAAATTTCTTAAGCTATTTATGAAATATATTTTAATAATAAATACTTTTCAGGAGAAAACAAATCCCTCTAAAACCATTAGAAATTTCTGCATTATGAAATGAAATAAGAATCCAAGTAGTGATAAACCTCATGGCATATGTATGTCTATTTATAAGCTGATAGCACTTGCGATTGAAGTTAATGTGGAACTGCTTCTCTATTGCTCATTATTAATATTTTGCAATTCATATTGATTTATTAAATCCAATTTAATTCAATCAAAACGAATATTTCATGTACGGTTTTTGGCTTGAATGTGATTTTAATAATATCAAGTGACTCCGACACAGCCCACTGGTCAAGACGAAGGCACTGGACTGATCCTTTTTTTAATTTAGTAGGTTTTTTTTCAATTCTAAAATTTTTTTCTATCAGTGTACATATTGAGATTCTACATAATAGTTTATGAACAATATACGAGTAGGTATACGTATTTGTATGTACAAAATTAAACACAGACACCTGGAAGTGAGCGACAATCACATTGAGAAAATCGGATTATTGTTCACAATAAATTTTACATCAACTTGCAAACGTGCGTATTTACAAATATATAAATACACACACTGTCCCATTAGGAAAAATCAGACTACAGAATGATTTTATTTTTTTTGCCACTGACAATCTTATGATACGAATCGACCCTTCTGCATTTGGAATGGTTCGTAGAAATGGTCTACCCGTACAGCGAAATTCCTGCGTAAATTTGACTTAATATGCATTCTATATCAACTCGTTAATCCGTAATTTTTTTTGGGAATTAACTACAGTTGATCCGGATTATGTCCTAGAGTTAATTCCCAAACATAATTCGAATCAAGGGAATTTTCGATTACGACACTGACTAAAAGCTCAGTTATGCAACACTCAGACTTGACTTGACTAGAAAATTGTATATCTGGCACATTGGCAGCGCATGTATTTAGTTACCCAAAAAAAAACTTCACTTAGAAACTTGGAGGACTATAGATTTTTGATTTTTAAATAAAATTTCTAAGTGCAAAGAGAGCCGTGAGAGAATCATGCTATCATTTCAGTTTTTAACGAAATCGCTACAAATATGCCTCACAAATATACTTTTTTGTATAAATGTAATTCATCTGGAAATCGAAAAACAAACTTTAAAATAAAGCCATAAAATAAAATAAAAACAATAACAATTTGATATGCGTAAATACATTTATTTTACTGGTAATTTTTTATCCGTTTTGGTGTAAAATCAAATTAAACGTTTGCAATTTTACGTGTACAAATACAAGTGCTGATATTCATACAAAATAGATTTCACCCATTAAAGAGATAGGTGAAGGTCGTACCCTTGTCGAATCTTAGACTAATTAAAACGCTAAAAAGAATATTAAAAAAATTTATTTTTTTTCCACGCTCTTATCCATAATTTAAAGCACCATCTGCACACAGAAATGTCAAAACTAGACTAAAAATGGCGCAAGAATAAGCAAAATAGCAAAATGATTTTGATTTTAGCGCAATAACTGTGCAATTTAGTACAAACAAACAACCCCATACATCACACAAATGACCGACGGAAGCCCGATAATGCGCAATGATTTTGTGTGGTTTAGCGACGCTATAACAGCGGCATGTGCAAAGAAATTCCGGGTTGTATTTCCCTTTCAAGAGTTAATAAATCAAACTTATAAATATCTACATATAAAATTTTAAGACTTTAAATAACAAGAAAAAATGATTTGCCTTCAATGCATAGTGTTCTTAAATTAATATCTGCCAACCAAAAGTATCAAAATGGGGCATTTGTGAACAAAAAAGTATCAAATCTTAAAATTTAGCAAAAAAAAATTAAAAATGATACATTTGTATCAAAACGGCAACGCTGTAATGCAATCACCATACTAATTCAAATAGGAATCCAATTTAAATTGAATCAGAACTTATTTGAATTAGTATGGTGACTGCATTACCGCCAACAAGAGGGAGGATCCATTCTACTTTTGCATATTTTTTGCATTTTACGCTCCCTGAGCAAACAAATAAGCAAACAAAGCAGCCAATTGCTTCATGTGCGGTAGGCGAATGGTAAGAGCTGCGTACTACAATGCCGCAGGACCCAGGTTCGCTCCTCGCTTCGAGCGATTGTTAAAAAATTTATATTTTTATTATTTATTTTATATTTCACATTATAAATTTTATTAATGTGTAGTTAGTAAAAATTTGTTTAATTTAAGTTAATTAAGAAAGTAAAAAAAAACTAATTAAAACCATTATTTAAGAAATATAGAAGTTATAATTGAATGAATAAAAAAATTAAATGACCGTCTGTCGAGGCAAAATTTTGATTGGATAAACTGCGTCGTTAATCCGGATCAACGTTGCCGCCTGTCTATGCTTTAAGATCACAAATGTACTACGAATGGAGTAGCTGCATTCAATAAACTCTAAAAAGTTTCTGGACGTCTCCATATGCTGATGCTCTTTCTAAGGCCCACCAAACCATGGGGTATGGAGCTCTTGCTTAATAAATGAACCTTGTTTTTTTGGTCTACTGAAATCAACCCTTCTTTTTTTCTGTGATCATCAAAGACACAAAAAAAATCACTATTACAATCAGCTTTAGTCGCGAGCATTATGACTTGGTATTACGTAATCCAAACTAATTTTTTCTCAAAAAAAAAATTCCATATTTTTTGGTATAGAAGCACATCAGTTCGGAATACGTAGATTTTCCTACAGGTAGCTTTTTACAAACAATAACAACATCTATTCAAACTTATTTCTTAAACGAGTACTAAAATGCTTTAACGAAGTTCGGCCGGGTATTGACAAAGTGTTTATTGATTTTGTCGTTGACTTTGAGAAGAATTAAGTAGAAAAGGTACATATTTGTAAAGCTTTGCAAATCTGTGCAAATAGGTATAATAAATATAGCATGCATACACATTTACATATGTACATACCCTTGTGGTCAGCTGATTAAGTCAAGTGACATTTTGACTAGTTTTGGCTACTTTTCTAATGTTTAGAGTTTTTTTTTTAATAAAAGTTTAGCACTTTATCTAACCAGCGCCACATAAATCCACATTTCAAACTGCGTACAAAAATTATGAAAATCCATCATTTGCAACCACAAGTTTTAAATTTTTTTTTTCGACTTTTCAGAAAAATTTTTGGTATGCAGTTTTGTATTTCATTAAATTTTAGTAGATTAAAGTGCAAGTTCTAGACGCTAGAAAGT